GGGGCTAATCGGAGTTTAAGATTTCTGATAAAGACTTACAGTAAACATACACAAAATCCATAGCAAGCCCGTGCGCAGCAGCGCGCCTGTGGAGCGGCCGCCCTGGGAGGCCTATGCTTTCACCCCGGAAAATTCCTCCTTCCACAATCCAGCTGGCCTTCTTTGGTGATTTGGGCCCAAAAGTTCCTTTGTTTCGGGGCCCTTTTCTGTAGAAACACACACGAACCCGAACCCCGCAGAAGCGTCGCAGTGGGAAGAGCCTGAAGGCTTGCGGGGCTTCTCTGGGTACCACGGAGCAGTAGGACCCCGCGCGCTGCAGCGCCGCAGGAGAACCGGCGCGAGGGCTGCGTGCGCCCCAGGTGGCCCTGAGCGACGTCCCGACACTGCATCCGCTGGGACTCACCTAGACTGCGCTCGCTCGGGGGATTTTCTGTTTCATGGACTCGCAGGGAGCATGAGCTGCCTCCTGAGGGAGCGCGTGGCCGGCGGTGAGGTTCAGTGTTCAGTGCGCTTTATCTTTTCTGTCTCTTCTCTCATCTTCATATTCCAAGACGCTGCTGGCTGTATCAGCGCCGGACTTCTCGCTGCGGTGGAGTCAGACCTGTGTATGGCCAAAGAGGTTTCATTTTAGGCACTTCATGTCTACTCAGCCCTGAGGAGGAGGCAAATGTGAAAACCCTCCTGGGCTGCTTGCTTCCGCAACATTTTAAAAAAGAAAAAAGCCTGGTGCTAAAAGTATTCAACAATGCATGTCCACTGCTGAGTTCACAGTATCTCACTGGTAGGGGCTGCGTGTGCTTTGCATTTTGGAATTCTGGAACATTTACCAGAAGACGAGCAGCCGTTACCATTATTTCAACAGTTAATCCATGAGCTCTCCGCTGCTAGAGTGAGGAGTGTAAGGGGGAATATTTTTCTATGGGAACGCAAGTGCTTTTGAGATTTAGTTTCACAAGAATGATCAGATGCTTAAACTAATTTCAGAAAGAGGTAAAACTATTTCAGATAATCTTTTAAAAA